ATTAGTGTGTGTTTTGTTTTGAAAGACATTATCCACTAATAGAGCAGTGAATTGAAGGGCGAGAAAGCATTTCATTAAAACTAAATGCATTTCGTGCCAACAATACAATTAAGTTAAGCATAACTTTCTAAACACTAGTCAATGTTTTCGAGTTTGCTTTTGTGTCAAAACAAAATGCTTTTTATTTTTATGTTGTTGTAATAAGTTTTATGTGCTTTTGTTACTGTGATTACGACACCTATTATTGCCCACAATAATAGAAATAGTTTCTTAAGTTTTTGGAAAACCAATATATTTTTTCATAATAATCAATACTGTAAAACGTTTCATATTACAGTATTAATATTACTGTTATACAGTATTTAGAAAAACGTTTTAACTGATAATCCCACTACTTATTCAGTTAATTGATATTAATGGTTTGAATAACTATTGTTTCATTTATATTTCATGTTTAAGTCTTAAAACATTTTTAATGTTTTCTTAGTTTTTATAGAAATAATGATAAATTATATTACTTTATTGCTATTATGCTACAGTATTTTGAAAATTTTTAGTTCATTTAACCTTATTATTATAATAATTAATTATTTTATACAATTAAATGTGTTTAATAATAATTTGAAAATTAAACAAATACATCATAACATGTTTATATAATTAGGTTCTTATTTAATTAGCTTATTAATGGATATATTAAAAATAAATTAAATATTTTGTAACATCAAATTAAATGTATAATTTATAAAGTTTACTTTACAACTAAAGCTAATATTTTATTTGCCAAAATAATTGTTACATAATACAATAATAAGAAAATTTGATATCATGGTACATTAATTTAGTTATAGATTTTGTTTTATAACCCACTGTATAACTATAAATTAATGAAATTAACCTATGACATTTTAATTAGTCTTATGATCAATAACATTTTTTATTTTGTTGATATTATAAAAGAATAAATCATTTTATTATAATGTGGATTTAATCAAATTTTTATTTTTATGGTTATCCTAGATAACTTATCCAATATTCCACCCACATTATTGTTTACTATATGTTTTGTATAATATACTTATTACTTCCAACTGGATAATTGTTTCTTAATATCCTGTATAATATTATAGTTGACTATTATTATAAATTTAATTATGGTATCCTGTCAAATCTCAAATAAAATAATGTTATGTTTGTTTACCAAATATAAAACACTTAACACCGTAATTTTAATAGCAAATATATCAAAAGTATTTTCTAAAATAATGTATATTTGATTTGTGGTTTGTACACTTTAATAAACGATCCAGACAAATTTTAAAAATTTTATTTATGTAAAAACAAAACTTCAATTTGACTGATTCTCACTATTAAACACATGATTTCTAAAATATTATTTAATATATGCTACTAATATGTGGCTTAGTTGCGCAACATTCAACCATTTCATAAATATTTTACTTTATTTTTTAATTAAATAGTTTTGCAAACAGAATATTAATTATTATGAATATGTAGAAAAATGTTTTTATCGTTGCTTTTAGTATTTGATTTATTTTATTTGATATTTTGCTAAACTGTGAATACACTGAACATAATATATACGAAAATTTTTCGGTATTCTCTCTAATCATGGCATTCATATCGAAATGAAAAATCCATTTATTTTCTCTGACTTAATGCCATAAAACAATAGCCATTAGTATTTAGTATTATTACAGGGAAACGGGAGTTCAGATATAAAAATAAATTGATTTTTATTATTATTTGAATACCAGTCCACTCACGCCTATCTAATATCAGTGGCAATACTATGCAATCTCTGATATTTATATTTACAAAACTTATCTAATATTAAAAATTTAATATAAATTCAATTTCTTATTACACAACCAGTAGGTATTAAAATAAAATTTATAAATGAAAGTCATAAATATGTCAAACGTTTGCTTAAATATTAATATAATTTATGACAAACTATTAGTGAAAGTCAAGAAACAAGTGATAAATTTGTCGATTATATAGAGAATATGAAAAACTTGTAGACATTTATGAGTTTTACTTACCGTTTCAAAAGCGTATTGTAAAGCAATCGCATAATTGTTTGCAATATATATTTGGCACTCATATCGCGCGGATATACACACATTGAATAGTAATGATGAGTATTATTATGTACGGCCATGAAATAGGTATGGCCAGCCCCAGTGTTATAGGTGCTCTACTGCTCATATAACCTACTTATTGAGCGATGTATACGCGATATGATATGATATGAGATATCAAATATTTCAAAACATAAGTCACGCCAAACACACATTAAAACGAGTGTTTTATTCTCACAGAATATTCTGGCGACTGTCTGCCAATACTACAGAACTATTGACTCCAATAGTATACATGTATATGATATTTGAAAACAAATAAAGATATTCTTAATACCGATATCTCAGTCTCGCGTTTATTTGAATGTCGTTTTAATTATTTTCAAATATTTTATAATCATTTTTATTTCTGTGTTTTTCGTTTCCAATGCCTTATTTGATGTCATTTTACAGTCGATTCTTGACTCATACCTCTGTATTGGTTTGCATTTGTGTCGTTCATAGAGAGGCAGAACTGCATTACATTACGCGGCAGTACTGGCCGATGGAGGGCTCGTATACCAGCAGCTCATAGAGTGCGGCGCCGACCAAATGGCCACCGATATGGTGAGTGACCTGGCACCTTATTTTATGCATTTGTTTATAGTCAAATCAATTAATACAAAGTATAATTTGTAAATAGTTATTAAAGTTTCATGGATTTTCTACGAGTTGGATAAACATGTAGATTATTTTTATGCAGCCTATTTTATTTAATGATAGTTTTGATGATTTTGTTTGTGATTTATGTTTTTTAATAACAATAATGGTTATATTTGTGTTTACTATTTTGTAATAATATGTTTATTTGTAGATATTTTTATAAGCTTACTATGTTTACTGGTATTCATTTGGAGTTTTTTTTAAATCTCAGATCTCGATTCATATTATATTAATATTTATCTATGAGTTAAATATTATTTTATTTGTAAACAATGTTTATTCATTTATTATTTAAATTCTCAATATTTATTGAAAATATCAGATAACAACAACTGTTTATTCATATTATATTTGTTTGGGAAATACTTAATAGTTTGGCAAAAAACCTGAAGACTATCTGATAAGTCAGGTAGAGATCTCGGCTCAGGTGTTGCGGGACGGGTCCATTGGGCCCAATAAAACTCCCGGTGCTGTCAGACGAAGTCGGAAACAGAGTCGGATTATTGACCCCTCGTCTCTCAAATTTTATTCATCACGTAATTACCATTTATATTGCATTACCTTTTGTGCACTTTTATCTTATTTTGATGTTAATATTTAATTATTATACAAATATGATACACCTTATAGTGTTTATGTATTAATTTTATACTATTATCTGAATATTTTGATAGTAAAGTTATACACTATTTAAGTTATATATTGCATACTACATCTGTACTTTATATATTAGGTTTACTGTACAATACAATATACTGTATAAGTAAAAACGAGATATACAAACATCTATCCATTGATTTACATAAATAGACACTTAATTTAAATCATTTATTTATTACAATTACATCTAATATTATTTGTATATTTAAATAGTTTTCTGTACTCAGTAGACATTTTCGTATTAATTATAAATATACTATTGATTAGACATTAAAAACACTATTTATAAGTTGTGTTTTTGCTAAATATATTATTATATTATACAAACTGATGAACTTAGTGTCCATTTTTATTCATTAATTTCCAAATACTTTTATTATATTTGATTTTATTTTGTTTTTAATGTAAACATCATTTCATTTTTAATAGCAAACATTGTATGACTTATAAGAATGAGTACTTACTTCATGAATAAGTATTTATTTAAATGCTTGCATAAGTACATAGATAATCAAATAAATTTTACCTTGTATAGAATAGCAAAGAATATAAGTTTGGAATTTATTGAATAGATAAATCAATATTTTATAACTTTATTCTTAAAGTTAAATTATATGTTAATATAATATTTTTCAATCAATTTTATCCTGGTATAATCTGTTAAAATGATAATAATTCTATTAGTTTTATTGTGCATAGTATATTTTAAGTTAGTTAATTTTCAAAGTTTATTAATCATGGCTAAATATTTAGTTATAAGTTCACTATAGACGAGATTACCCTGTATGATTAGGTCAACACTATGTTAAGTGCTTTTTTGTACTAATGTTTTGTTTCTAAGAAATATTATACCAAATAATAGACAATTGTTCTGTTACTAAATCGATTCAATTTGCTATTTAAATAACATATTTATGCAATTATTTGCGACCCTTTTGTTTGGGAATATTTAATTAATTTTTTTCAACAAATTTAAATCAATTCATATAAACACTGCATTATTATTATAATGCCATTTACTAAACATTTTTTGTTTATGAAGTTTTGTTCCCATTTAATTCTCGTGCAATAATATAAATAATATTTTATTAATATATTTATCTCAATAATCAATGATTTTTTGATAGTAACAGACAGATCCTTATAAATTAAAATATAATCATTTGTATATTGTAATATTTTATTTGATATATCTATATCTAAACTGTATTTTTATTATATTAGTAATTTTTATTACTTCAGTATGTTGTTCCTTATTTTAAAATCTATTATTCCACACTATCAATTATATTTACAACTTTATACAAGTTTATTAACATTGTAAGATACACTATTAAGTACTAGACATGTCTATCATAAATCAAATACTCATTAATATCCATTGGTTTTTATAATAAAACAAATGCACATAATAAACAGATTCACCTGTAGTTCACAGAATTGAGTGCAATATATATATCCATATATCTGTGTATATGAATCAAGAATAAGAATATGTTTTTCACGCATTTGCCTCTCAATACGTTTACATCATATTCCTATTACTCGTGTCCTATTCTGTGTGCCATTAATATTCAAATGTCATATTGTATTAAATATTTATGTATCGCTTGTCATCTCGTATGAACTGTACCGGCACATCGCAGGCTCGCTAATGCATCGGAGTAACATAAAGGAGCTGATACGCCAGGGTAACCTGTCCACGTTGGAGGAGGTGGTGTTGCAAGGTTTTGGGGACAGACTACTCGGGGAGACTTCACACGCGCCCTTAGTTCAGGAGTTTCTCGACAAATTGCCCGATTTTATTGTATGTATATTCAAATTTATTAATATTTTTAACTTTTTTTAGATTTAAATAATTTTTAAACTTTATATATTCGTTCTCACAAATCCAATTTTCATTAAATTGTTATCTAGTATTTTAGTTATAATTGGTATATAAAGATAATATTACATTGTAGTTGACTATTTATACATTTTTACTATATTTAAGTGAAACCCTGAATCTATTTTATATTTTGAGTATATTTTTTTTAAAAACTGTAAAGAGTTATTATACTATAAGTATTTAATGATTTAACAAAGTCAATTATTAAATATCTTGGAGGGATTATGGTGAAAGCTTAATTTGTTTAAAAATAAATATTTTATAAAATTATTATCATACAAATTCTTATAAGTTATAAGTTTAGCCTTGCAAAATTATTTTTTAATTATTTTAAGAAAATTATTTGAATCGATAATTGCACTCCAGTTTTTTCGTATTCAATGTTTTACTGAATTACTACTCATTTAAAATACAATATATTTAACTTTAAAGTTTGTTATATATTTTTTTATATTTATATCAAAATTTATTGTGGTGCAGAATAATTAATACAGAATTATTTTTCTTAGAAATTAATGATTTAGAAAGTTTCCAAACGAATTATTAGCATATAATGTAATACTAAGAACATTAGAAATAAATTCTTTATATTTATATTTTATTTAAACACATATACAGCATATGATGTCTTATTTGCATTAATATTAAAAATATGAAAAATAAGAAATCGATTCAATGCTTACATATATTAAAATGTGTTTACAATTTGTGATTTAAAATATTTCATATATTTGAGTTGTTTTGTGTAATACATGCGAGCAATCAATCAAATGTCAAATTGTTTGAACACAAAACGTTTTATGATTAAAAATACAACAATATATAATAACATTACAAACTCTTGGATTATAGGATCAAATAACGGAGTTGCATCGATCCACTATGAAGGGTAACCTACGGGAGTTTCAGGGTCTATTAGACCGCAAGTCCATGATTACGGCCAGGGATCAGATCGGGGCGACACCACTGCATAAGGCCGTCCTCTATGGACACTACGATTTGGCCGAATATATCGCCACTAACTTTCCCGTCACACTCGATGCCAGAGATAATGTAAGTGCACTATCATTGCCAGAATATTCTGCACACAGAATATTCGTGTAATGTTAATTTGGTTATTATTTTGTAATAAGTTGTAATTTATTACATTATTGAGGTTTAATGCTAGTGTAAGTCTTTGGTTATTAAGTCTATTTTTTTAAAACAATTAATATTGTAGCAAGAAATTTTTTTAACAGTATAACCATAGTGTTGTAGTTTTGTACATACGTCTGAATTGATTATATTTATGTTTATTTCAAATCTTATTTTGATTTGCTATTATTAAAATCCATTAATAGAGTATAAAGTGAGAGTGTCTGTTCTTATAAGCAATATAAATT